TAAAACACGTGAATCTTGCAGCTTCCACTACATTGTTATGACCAAGAAGGATAAAGGAACAACGTTACTGCTCGCTGTTGGGACAATTCATATACATGTTGACCTCCATCATCCACAGCCAAGCAGACCTGCAAATAAAAAAAAAATGCTCGACTTTTTTTCATATCGGAGATGGCACTCTAAGCAGAGTCTCTTGAAATACTCAGCTTATTTTCTCCCCGATAATACCTCTGCAAACAAGCTACACCAGAGCAAGAATATCTCATATCATCAGGGTAAAAAGCAAGAGTATCTCATATCATGCTTTTTCCCTGTCTTTTCCTTTGCCCTTGTTCTTACCTGCAAGACAAAAAGAAAGAGAGCAATCAGTCAACACTTGGAATCAAGCTTCCAATCAGGAACTGACTGCCTGAAACCCCTTGCCTGATTACTTACTTGGCATTGCTCTCGAGTACTCATCTTCAACATCTTGTGCTTCCATAAAAGATACCATATCTGTCTGAGGAACAGATAGGGCAAGTGAGAAGAATACAAGGAAGCATGTGGAGACAAGCGCAACAGAACACGTGTCGAAGCATCTATTACTTTGTCAATAGCAAAAGTATCTTATATCATCAAGGTCAAACGAACTCTTGATTTGATGGACTTGTTTTGACCCTCAAATTCTTGAGTCAGCCTTATTCTCTGGAGGAAACCAGAAAACCCTCCAGCTCAATTCAAGAATAAGCATGTGGAAAGTTACTTCTTCAAAAGCAAAAGTATCTCATATCATCTCTTCTCATTTTTCTTCTCTTTATCCTTCCTACTGCCTGCAAGATAGGGAGAATGAGAACAATCAGCCGGAACTCGAAATCAAACTTATGATCTGGGACTGATTGTTAAGAGCTCTGATTGCTTACCTTGTCTGTCACCTCTTTCGGCAGATCTCCTAGTTCGGCGACTTGGGGGACTCCTACTACATGGTTTGTATCGCGTTTGACCAAGCCTAAAACTACAAGTAAGCTTCAAGTGATATTGATACATTACCTTGTGCATCTCTACCGGTTAAAGATACCACCCTTGAATGGAGGAAAAGTACTTCCAGAGAAGATGCCACATCTACCTATGAGACAGATAAGGCAAGTGAAAACGATATCACACTTCGGTACTTAGAAGTTTCATGATTACTCAGCGGCTTGGATCTTGCAAGTCCCCAACCGAGGAGTTTCCCTTACTCGGGAACTTAGGGGAGCACTATTTGTACCATACTTAACCAATCTTGAAAATACCGAGCACCGGTCAACGTTATACCATCAAGGACCCATAAGAGTTTCCCTCCAACCATGAGGCCAATCACAGCGCAACACGTGTCAACACCAAGAGGCCAATCGCATGGCGACATGTGTCAACATCAAAGGCCAATCACAGCATGACACATGGCTAGGCCAGAACAAAGCTAGAAACTCTCTTATATAAAAGGAGATCATTCTCCCACAATAATCCTTAATGTCATTTGTACTAAATCATTCACTAGTACTCACTAAATGATAGATTGAACCTATGTACTTGTGTAAACTCTTCACAATTAATGAGAACTCTTCTACTCCATGGATGTAGCCAATTTGAGTGAACCACGTACATCTTGTGTTTGCTTCCCTGTCTCTATCCATTTACATACTTATCTACACTAGTGACCGGAGCAATCTAGCGAAAGTCACAAACTTGACACTTTCTGTTGTACCAAAGTCCTCACCGATTTTGTACATCAACAATAATTATAATTATTTGATGAAAATCCAAAGGTCTAAGATCCTTGGTCAGGATGATCCTCTCCTTAAACTCAGGAGAATATCAAATTCCCAACTATATGGGGATGAGGAGAAAATTATAATAAACTATTTTATGATAAGATAACTTTTGTTTTGGAAAACATAAGAAAATTATTAAAAAGTGTCACGTCTATATCTCGAGATAAACGCAATGACATTAAAATATAATGATATCATAAATAAGATGCGTATAAGCCTGTGAATGATTTTTTATTAGAGAAACCTTTATCCCACAGATTGAATTTTTAAGCTTGGAACTGATTCCCTTGTGAAAGAGGTTGAAACGGATAGCCAACTATATAAGCATTGAAAGATCTAGAAGGTTTGAACACCAAAATCTCTATGGCCGCTGGCTTTAAAAGACGCAGAACATGACCCGCGACAGGATTAAAATAATCCTGTGTCCTTGCCAATGTAAATACTAACCGGCCAATGTGCGGCTTACTGTGTATCTTTGTAGGAGAGATTTTTCAATGTGATCGTCACACGAGGTGGTACATTACGTGTTTTTATATAAATAGTGAGTTGTGTGTGTTAAAATGTTAATAACTTAAAAATTAAAATTTTCTACTACTTACATAAAAACATGTGGTGTACTATCTGTGTTCCTGTCATAACTAAAAATTTCTCTCTTTGTAGGTGTAAAATGAAGCACGTTTTATCAAAACCACATTTAATAAAGCAAATCATCAAAAGAATAGTCTAAAGAGCAGAGTTAGAAATTTTTATGACGTTGATTATAATTTTTCTTTTTTCTGTCTATTATGCGTGATTTAGCAACTTTCTTTGTCTCAAGAGTTGTTAAGGCAGGATGGGCCAATTTTTAGTTTGATGGAATTAACTTCTTAAGAACTAGCACTAAAATCTTAATTAACTTGGAGCTCACCCTAGCTTTGGCTCCGCCCTAGAGTGTGGAGTTTCTAGATATTGTTTCTAGTAGATGAATACATTACACGCTAAGTTTACAGTTCAAGTATTTAAAAATAGTTATCCTTGTACGAACCAATGTGCTCGGTTTTCTCATCTATCCACAGTGCTTGAATAGAAAAGAAAAACATATATGTTTGATGTAAAACTAATTAAAAAGGAACAATGAAGATGACACATGAAAAATCTAAAGAAGGTCTAAAACTAATTCAAAAATCAACAAATCAACAAATCAACAAATCGTACGGACTTTGAATGAAAAGAACAAGGAGTGCCATCCGTACTCGTGAAGCTAACCTTTTTGGAAAAGGAAAGTTCATTCCACAGCCAATTATGCTTAATACTTTTCTTATCTTTGACCGAATTGGTGAGTACAGCACACCTAACTAACACATGTCCAACTATTCTCTTCAAATGTTTTTGAGTGATTGATTTGTTTAACCAACAAAATAAGGTATGACTTATGGTGATGATCGAGTAATAAGGGAGTAAAACAACTAACATGCACGTCATACCGTTAGGATTCTAGAATATACATTTTGATACGTTTTCGTAAGACTAATTTGTTTCAACGATACAACAACAATCTTTTATATGTTACCTAAAAGATTATATCTACCAAAAATCATCCAAATATAAAATCATATAACTGTTGAATTAAATTTAGTAGTGTTTTTTTTAAACTGTATTGATCAATTTTCTTCACTACAAATAAATGTTTTAATGGTTTTGAGTTTGTTTCATATTTTGCAAGGATGACCTACGAAAATGTACTAAAATATAGAAGGCTTGGATCATTGAAATTCACATACAAAATGAATGACAAAATGTGTGTCAAAAATGTGTTTCTTCCTAATCATGTATATATGATATAATATAATATAATATGATAGAATATAATATAATATAATATGATATTATATGATGTATATGAATAGTAATGACCGCTTAAACTATATATGGTATATGAAATATGAAAATAAATTGTGAAAAAGGAAGAACCGAAGAAGAACCCTGAAGCAGGAAGGAAAATACTCAATTGTGAGTGAATGGTGAGGTAAGTGATAAAGCAAATTAAGAAAACTTATTAGGAAAGGCATGAACGATGTCATGACATAAAATAATGGTGTGAAAGTAGGAAGCACACACTGAAGGCACATCGCAAATACAACTGTGGATGTTGATGGACCGCGTATGGTTTCCAGTAAGCCAATTGGCGTTAACTTACCAACATTAGTAGGACTAAATACTACCTGGCATGCAAGTTTCTCCGTCGTAGTCGGTTAGTTTTGTGTATTCTTCCACAGGCAGCTCCTTTTCTTCTGTTGACTCGCTTGTTCTTTAAGAATTTTAGTTGCTTTCACACGAACCTCCCCTCTACTCAACAAAACGCGCTGTGATATCTAGATTTTTTTTATCACATATGTGAAAAGGACTAACTGGATTAGAAAATGTAAAAAGTAAACAAAATTATGTTGGATAGAGATTCCACGTTCAAAGGACAAGAAGCTAGCTTGGTCTCATGACGCCAAAAAATATGATCACATAATCTTATTATTCTTGGTTAATATATAGATTGAGATGTATTAATTTTATCGTCCACATAATTTGTTTTCTCCGTGTCTTTATAAAAATTTCTCTTTTTTATAGTTTGATTTATTTTTTTTTACAAGTGATGTTACGAAAACTATAATAGAGACAAAGTTGCCGATACAAGTAGGTCTCACTATTATTAAGAATACAATGTAATCTAATAAAATAGGTTATTTAACGAGAATAACTTATATAGCACGAGTATACAGCATGGTGATGTCCCTTATTAATTAGACATGTGTAAAAAAGTTTGTTGTGTATCCTTAATCCATTGGCATAGAACGCATGAAAGTTATTCTCCATTGTAACATTTTCCTTTTCTAATTGATGGCAATCATCATAAGCATAATCTATGCGAAAATAAATGCAGAAACCCAATGGAAATTACGAAAAAGAAGACTAGTTTTAGTTTGACACGCGCCTTGGATGCGTGTGGCCATGGATACCGAGTAAATCAAATCTAGAAACGGTCGGATTACTCAACCCACTCCCACCGGTCGCCTAAAACGACCCCTTCAGGAAGCTTTACTCCAGCAACGCGGTGACGCAATCGGACCCCAACACTGACGGCGCTAATCGAAACTGCTCCGTTACTTAGCCAGCAAGACTTACACCACTTCGATTATTCCGTACACGAAAAGTCAGCAAAACATATCAGATATCTCCCCCCTATAAATACACCACCTCGAGCATCTTCAAGAACAACCTTAAAACTCTCGAAAACACACACACAAATCTCATCCACTTCCAAATCTTTCCTTTCCAGCTTACTTCTTCGCTTTACTCCTGCGAGCTGAACCCTAAACCCGAATCTTAAACCCTAATCGACCGTCATCAGCCATGAAGAGAAGCAGGCAAGACGAGACCTTAGACATGGTCAATTGTCTAATGCTTTTATCCAAGGTAGGGGAACCCGATTCCTCCCCCATCAAATACGAAAACTCGAAAAATGACCGAGTTTTCGTGTGCAAGACGTGTGATCGGGAGTTCCCGTCGTTCCAAGCCCTCGGAGGCCACAGGGCGAGTCACAAGAAGCCGAAGCTAATGCCCGGTGGGGCTGTTGACCTTTTACATTTGGCGGAGTTCCCGGGGTCGCCGGTGAAGCCCAAGAAGCATGAGTGCCCGATCTGCGGGCTTGAGTTCACGGTCGGACAGGCGCTTGGGGGACACATGAGGAGACATAGGGACGTCATCCAAGCTGCGGCTGTTCGAGCTCAGCCGTCGCCGCCGATGCCTGTTTTGAAGAAGTCAAATAGTAGCAAAAGGGTGTCGTGTTTGAATATGGAGTTGAATTTGGATCTGCATTTGGCACCACCGGGTCATCACCAATACGATTTGACGAAGCTGCAGATGATTTCTTGATTTGTTACATGTTTAATTTATATTTATCTCCTTCGACTGGCGTCAACAGATAGATTTAGTTTTGATGTATACTTATTCGTACAGATCATAGTCTTTTTATCTTTTATTTTTTAATTCGATGTTTATATTGAAACATGGTGGAGATGAATTTATTGGATTTTTTTTTGGGAACATATTCTTAATTTTATGAGATTTTGTATTCGATATTTCGTATTACTTACGCCATATTTGCATTTAAAAAACATATTATATGTTTATAATTACGATGATATATCTTTATACTTGTCACTTGATAAATATCAGAAAAGAGTTCGAGTAATATTAAAAAAATAACAAATAAAAAGAGTTCAAATAGAAAATGAATAAGTATTGTAGTAGGTCAGCTCTTAACTTTACGTCGTAGGGATTGTCGACAAAGATGGCCACTCGATCGATAGGCAAAAGTTTGGGGAAGGGGTTTGAATTTTTTAATATTATTGTCAGGTATTTTATGTGAGGTTATGCCCTGTAACATGTAGTCGTGTCTTAATTATGTGGTTCCACTCGCTAGGGATGGCAACGGTTTGGTTTGGAGATGAAAATGTTGTATCCATCCTGATAACCACGAAAATTAACCATATTAAAGGTCATACCCACCGGACACTGGCCTTGGCCTTTAAGGTCTGTAGGAGGAAGAGAATAATCCTTTTATAATTATTCTTGGTCGGTGCAAATGCTTGGATGTAGAATTGTATAAAATTAATGAATGATTTTGATTTGATAGGTAAATCCTTTTATACATACATAAATCGGCACTAGGCCAGAATAGAATTCCTTGGAGGAGAAGTAATCGAAATATAAATGAACTACACACTTCTCAAGTGATTTCAAATTTTAATTAGGGTTGTATTCCATCATGCTTCTTAATTAAAATTTGATGACTTCAGTTATACAAGTTTGGTTCGAAGTAGGGAAATCCAAATAGACATGGTCTAAAAGGTAACTCCCAATGTCCATATTACACATGAAAAAGGGAACTCCAACATCCATTACATATGAAAAAGAGATGACAATTTGTAAACTACTTCACGAATTAAGCTGCTCATGATCTCCTATTGACTTCTCTTTTCTCTGTATCCTTGCAGATGTAATCTTGATTGTCGTACTGATCAATGCTGAAGAATGAACCAGGTTGGATCTTGATGTGTTCTTGGTTTTTCTCCAACCTTGGCTTAACAACATGCAGGAGCACTAGGGTTCCAATTCCATGGCGTCAAGAACGAGTTTCGAACTCCAAGAAGGATGTCAGCTGCTTGTGTCGATCGTTGGTTTATATAGGATCGTCTCTAACATTTTGGGGTCTCTGTGCGATTTTAATAAAAAGGTCCTCCTTATTTTAAAAATAAATCATTTTTTTTTACAATATATTGATACATAATTCAACAATCAATATATTCAAACTTAATCCAAATCAGCATCTCACTCTTACTAACTAAATAATCTTCAATTGCCATGAAGTCATGTTTTAGGGTTCATCCATGAAAAAATGGAGCATGACTGAAAGAGAGATACGAAAATATGTTTGTGTTTGTGGAAGAAAGTAATAACAAGTTAGTTTTGGAAGTTTTGAGACTCTTGTCCCATATTGGTGAAAACAAGATTCCAAAATGCCTTTATATATATTTTGTCTTCTACAATATTAGTTATGTGTTGAACCACTTGGAATGGGAATTGAGGCTTGGGCCACCATTTCTGTGGATTGGGCTTGATGATTATACCATAATATTAATATTAATTAATCAAGACAAGGGCCTTGGGCCTCTTGGGGCCTAAGAATTAAAATTAATCTGATCAATTAGTTTTAATTTCGAATTAAGTTTTTAATTAAATTAATTAAAAACGTTTTGATTAAATATACAACCTTTTGTAGAGAGTTGTAAAGCTTCAGATACATCCAAAAGGTATTTGAAGAGGTATGAAAGAGCCTATATAACTGGAGTCCTCAGTTCATCATTTTTCATCTTTTTCTTCATTTTCTTCCGTACAAACTTTCTAGAGAGAGTAAACACACAAAGCAATTCGCTAGAATTCTATAATCCAGTGCGGGTTGTAGGATTAAGTAGTTGTATCCTGGTCGAGCAGACGTTATAGAACCACAAGCACAAGAGTGGGACGGAATTACTGTTCGAAGGACATAGCTTTTACGCTAGCCTCTACCTTCTGTAATCAAGTTAGTACTGTTGATAGTCTTATATTAATTTCTGTATTTATTGTATACTTTCATTCTGTATAGCAAGTACTTTTTGTGAAATAAAATTGTGAATTTCAAGTTCTGTTTATTTCTGTTATATTGTTTATTTCTGAATTGTTCTCCAACAAGTTTTTTATTGCTAAAGAAAATTGAAAGAAAGTAATACACAAGTTTTTTTATTGCTAGAGAAAAGTGAAAAACTAATACATTAAGTGTATACTCCACTTAATCAATTGTAATATACATAAAATCATAAGATGATGATTTTTCTTTTCAGTTAAATCTTTTTTCTTAGAAAATTTATACTCATATGTAATATATAAGAGGCTCAAAAATTTTGGAACCCTTCAGAAATTCAGGACCCTGTGCCACTACACCTTTTGCACACCCCAACGCCAGGTTTATGATCATCAAGTTTTTATCACTTCCTTTAACTTAAACTCTGGTTCTTCATGTTCTATTGGAGCTGAAGCCGATGATTCAAGTGTCGTAAAAACGATGCAAGTCATGCTGCTATACATATATGGTTTTGTTTGTTTGGACAAGATCTTATTAACCTTTTAATCTTCTCTTAGATATCTGGCGGTTTTGGTGATGGAGTTAATTATTTTTTAACCTATTTATGGATACATTTGTGGAGTAATTTCTACTTCGCAAGGGTATAGGATTCGAGGGAATTCAATCCAAATTGGGAGAGGAAGAAATATTCGTAATTTGGTACATAAAAGAATGAAGGAATCCGAGTTTTTCTCTAGTATTAAACTTCTGGTACCTAATTGGTTCTCGATCGAGACACTCACCACTTGGTGTGTATACTAGCTAGTTACCATACAGTGAAACTTATTTTACTATTACTGATTTTTTCTAATTTCTTTTTTAACTCCAATTAATATATCATTCTATAACTATATACGCAAAATTATGAATATTAATGTGGCATTTTTTTACAACACGAACGTCTACATATAATATAATTGTGGTTACTAGAACAACGAGTTTATCATTCTATTGTAGATTAGTGATAATTCATTAGATTAATTTAACTCATTAAAATGTTTAATTTTCTTTGCACATATGTGGGTGTTGTTGATGCACAAAATCAGCGAGGACTTTGGTTCAACAGAAAGTGTCAGGTTTATGACCTTCGCTTGGTTGCTTCGATCACTAGTGAAGATAAGTACGTAAATGAATAGGGACAGGGAAGCAAACATAAGATGTACGTGGTTCACCAGATCGGCTACGTCCACGGAGTAGAGGAGTTCTCATTAATTGTGAAGGGTTTACACAAATACATAGGTTCAAGCTCTCATTTTGTGAGTTCTAGTGAATAGTTTAGTACAAAATGACATTAGAGATTATTGTGGGAGAATGATCCCTATTTATAGAAGAGAGTTTCTAGTTTTGTTCTAACATTGACACGTGTCGTGTTGTGATTGGCTTCTGATGTTGACACGTGTCGCGATGTGATTGGCTTCTGATGTCGACACGTGTCGCATTGTGATTGGCCTCCTGGTTGAAGGGAAGCTCTTCTGGGTCTTTGACGGTATAACGTTGACCGGTGCTCAGTAGTTTCGGGATTGGTCAAGTATGGTACAAACAGGTGTATATTGGCTAGAGTTGATGTGTTCTTCGTATATATATTCCTCCAAATTGAAATCTTCCTCTATAAAATTTTTATTAGTTTAAAATAAAATATCGTTAATATAAAGAAAAACTCAATTTGTTTAAGATATCACACTTTGTAAACTACACTTTGCTCCTCGATTTCTCTCCTTGTTGGTTCCTCCTTCCTACTACGTTTGCCAGTATCCTTGCCATTGTTCTCGTTCATTATTCATTCAAGACCGCAACCCCTCAAAATCATTGCAGTAAACTCATCGTAGTACGTATACTGATCATGATCATCGTCTCCTCCAACAACGAGTTCGCCCTCGTATCCGTCGGTAAAGAATGAACCAGGTTGGAACATGATGTAATCTTGGTTTCTTGTCTCCAAACTCGATTTACTATCACTTGTTGCAGGGGCACTAGGGTTGCAGTTCCACGGCGTCAAGAACGAGTTATCGAACTCCAAGAAAGATGTCAGTCGCTTGTAGTCGATGGTTGGTTGATGATCCGCCATTAACTGATCAGCTTCCACAGACTTAGACTCTGGTTCTTCTTGTTCCATTCGAGCACATGATTCAAGCGTCGTGAAACTGATGCAAGACAGGATGGTTGGTTTATGATCCGCCATTACTTGATAGGCTTCCACAGACTTAGACTCTGATTCTTGTTGTTCCATTCGAGCAGATGGTTCAAGCGTCGAGAAACTGATGCAAGACATGTTGCTTCGGGTCTTGTTTGCTTGGTGAAAAGCGAATGAGGGCTTCTAATTTTTTTTCTTAGAACTTTTGATTTGGTGGTCTTGGTGAATGAGTGTTTTACCCTATTTATATACATGAAGTTAACTCCTAATCAAAAGTGGTATAGGATTTTAGAAAGAGTTTCAATCCTCACTAGGAAGGCATTTTGATTAAGAAATATTTCGTAACAGTCAAGAAATTTTTACACATCCTATCAAAAAACAAATAAAAAAAACTTATTTTTAATAATTGTAATTTTTTTATAAAATAATATGTTTATACTAACGCTAAAAAAAAAATGTCGTACAAATTTAAAATTTTATCATTTAAAAATGAAGCTAAATACTATCAAAATGGTAGTGTAGCAAATAAATGGAAGTGTTACATGTTTTGGATTTTTGAGTTTTTACAAGTGAACGGCACGGCTTGTTAGATCTTGCAACGTGTCGACAGAGGATTGGTTGACTTGCTCCACCTGACCACAACCGGTTTCCAATTCTCGTAACCGGATGAAAGTGTAAAGACGAAAATGCACTGGCGTCAAGACCGTCTTCGTAATGGACGGCTGTGATTCATTTATAATTTCACACGTGGACGGTGATGATCAAATTAACGGCGACTTTCCTCGCATGCGGCCTCACCCAATTATTTTCTATTCTGGAGAAAAGATCGAGTGCTCCTCCGCTACCCTAACTTCCCCTCTCTCTCGCTCTCTCAGATTTTCAATTTTTAATTTAGTCGCCGGAGTTCCTGCGCCGGAAAATTGATCAGTCATCGATCAACGAAGGGCCTGCTGCTGCTAAAGGTAACATTATTTCCTCCTTTACTTCTCGGTCACTGCATTTGTTATCTCATGCAGTTTTATGAAGAAATTGGGGATTTTTTTTAGGGATTTTGTTGAATTTTAGGGTTTGAAATGACAGAAAGCTCATGCGCTTTTCAATTTTTAATTTTTGAACATCTCTGTGTATGTGTGTTTATGTATGCAGATGGAATTCATCGCAGTCCGTACGTGCTGACACTCGTACAGCAGGAATCGGAAGAGTAAAGGGGGGGGGGGATTTTTTTACTGTGAAGTAGGAGGAGGAAAATGGTAAGTTGTATAATTTTTTTCCCACTACTGTAATGTGTTTTATCTGAGTGGACTTGGTGGTTGCTTGATTGTGGCTTTTGTGTGGTTTGCTTATTGTGATTTTTTTTCAAGTTAATGATCCTTATGGTGCTCATATAACTACAACATTCTTTCGTTGGGGTACAATTTGAAGTTAAAATTTTTGAGAAATTCTGTCGTAAACTTTGGCGTTTGTGCGGTTATTGTAAGTACTCGAGGCTGCAATAATACATGGCTGGGGAGAAGGGTGATTTTCGACTAGAGTGTATGTTATAGTTTGTTTCAGCTGCTCTTGAAGTTCTTATTTATTTGGTACTTCAGTTTATTGTTGTGTGTGTAGTTAGATTTCAGGTGTTTAGTGATGTTCTTTTAGGATTGTCAAAATTCTGAAGTGTTTAGATGGTTCAAAGTTGAAAGAATTATTCTTTTCAAAAAAAAAAAAAAAAAGTTGAAAGAATTAAGCCTATGATTAGTTGACGAACTTTTCGCTGTTTGATTTAAGTAAAATGCTTTGAAAAGTTTCCTTGAGTGTTATTATCTTGAACATTTGGCATCTGATCATATTTGAGCATGTGATGGATAAAGTTTCAAGCATTTTCTGAGAGTTTGTTACTCGCAGTCTTTCCAGAACAAGGGTTTATGGATGCGAAAGACTGGTGGGCATGTAAATGAGGGAGATGGAAATTTTGGCAACCATTCAAGAATGGAGCCAAAGCGGTCTCAACAATGGTTTGTAGATGCTGGTGAAGCAGAGCTGTTCCCAAACAAGAAGCAAGCAGTACATATTCAAAACAGCAAATTGAGCTCTGGAATGTCAAATGAAAATGTCTCTTCCTGGGAGAATGCTTCCGGTTTCCAGTCAGTTCCCCACCAATTCATTGACCGGTTATTTGGATCTGATACAACAAGCTCTGTGAACTTTGCCGAAAGGAACGTGTCTCCTGTCGGATCAGATAATTGGAATCTAAGGAAGGGTATCGACAACCAGTTTGGAGAAGATGGATCTGTTAGTTTGTCAGTATCTCATGCGATGGAAGATCCTGAAACTCTTAGCTATGCTGGAATTAAAAAAGTCAAAGTCAATCAGGTCAGGGACGGTGACAATGCTATGCATGTTTCGAGGGAATATGGTTCTAATAGGGACAATAATAGTAACCTGTCCACAAATCAGGCATTTGATAGGATAAATGAAACTGGTTTTTTATCGGTAGGGCAGGCCTATGATAAGGAGCACAGTAGTGTCACACTAATGGGTCATGCCTACAACCAGAGGGATGCCCATGGCAGACCAATAGGTCCCAGCTATGGCAAGGGGGATGAAAGTGTGGTATCAATGGCTGACAGTTACAATAAAGGGAATGCAAATTTGATATCTTTTGGTGGGTTTTCTGGTGATCAAGATATTGTAGCCATGGGCAGGCCTGTTGGTAACTATGATCAATTATACCATCCGTCTACAGTTCAAACATCAGAAACTGTGTGCGAGAAGGAATTGGACGTATCAAATGCCAGTGCAGTTGATAATACTGCTTCTGTACCCAAAACAAGACCTGAGTCAGTTTCGAAGAATAAACCTGAGGTCAAAACGTCAAAGAAACAAGCTCCAAACAGCTTCCCGTCAAATGTTAGGAGCTTGATTTCTACGGGCATGCTTGATGGGGTTCCTGTAAAGTATGTTTCCTTGGCACGTGAGGTAAGCTTTAGATCTTCTTGTCCATTTTGTTCAATTAGGAATCTAGGATTTCTTTCTAATGACTTGTTATATCCCTTGTGTAACAAGGAGCTTCGCGGGATTATAAAAGGTGTTGGCTATCTATGTGGGTGTCAATCATGTAATATACTAAGGTGAGTCTCCCTCTCGATAAACTATTCTGAGGTAAATCATTTAATCGGTTCTCTTCTTATTTACATGTTAAATTGACACGATGTGGATAATTTGGTTTATGGAAGGGGCTTAATGCTTACGAGTTTGAGCGCCATGCTGGTTGCAAAACAAAGCATCCAAACAATCACATATTCTTTGAGAATGGTAAGACCATCTATCAGATAGTGCAAGAATTAAGGAGCACGCCTGAGAGCATGTTGTTTGATACACTTCTAACTGTGTTTGGTGCTCCGATCAATCAGAAAGCTTTTAACAGTTGGAAAGGTAATGAATTCGAATTACATTTTTCTTCTTTTGGTGACTTAACGTTCATCAACTTTAAATTTGTATCCAACATAGCTTCTCTCTTCCTTTCGCTTATTTAAACTTTTGTTCCTCAGAATCATTTCAAGCGGCAACTCGTGAACTTCAGCGTATTTATGGAAAGGAGGAACTGAACTTCTAGGAGAGTTTGTATAGAAGATTGGAGAAAGGTTTTTTACGCGCGTGAAAATAATCACTTTTGTTAATGTATTTTGTATGGCAAATGGATGGAGGAATTTATGCTTTTTTGTTAAATTGGGTACATTAGTTTATGCAAATGTAAGTTATTCTATGGCAGAGTTTATGGGTTGATCTTGATCTCGTTTAAACCCCATCATACTTTTAGGTTTTTTCGGATTCCGGCACATCCCTTGGAAATTTTAGAAAACAAATATTCCGTCTCCCGCCTCCCCCCCCCCCCCCCCCCCTCGCGACAACTGTTAGCAGCAGGTATGCTACTGTCGGTGGTGACGTCGGAGCTAAGGTTACGGATGCTGCTCTGTGTGGCTACGGCACTGGCAAGGGCAGTCATTTGGCTAGTGGCGGATACGGCTTCAGTTTCCTTTTAGTTTATGAATAATTGTCCCTTGAAGTTGGAACGAAGACTAGGGAAGAAATACTCGGCAATTGTTGAGGTATGATGTCTGCCAAATTTCCAATCTTCCGATCTTCATTTACCGCAAAGTTTTCCGGCGGCGATAACGTTCGCACGAACGTTATATCGTACTATAACATTTTCCCCCAAAACTTAGATGTCAAATTATGAAAGTCTCAGATAATAAGCAACCATCTATCTTTCACACGCTAAGGGAAGTCACAAGCATAAGAAGGAGAATGGGCAGAAAAAAAAAATGTGCCTGCCACAGGTTACACGTCAATTCTTTACCACAAAAAAGAAAGTAAAAACAACCAAAAAAAAATCATTTCTGAAACCTTAAGAAACTACCTTTCACACACTATGTTTCGAAAGAATGACACCGAAAAAAAAAAAAAAATAGAGAGAAGATTACAAGCACCATCATATCGTATTGTCATACAATTAGTTTTGTCTTTCCAAACATTTGTAAGTCACCAATATGCGCCCCCCCCCCTCCGATCACAATGTAATCAACTTAAGAACCGCAGCAAGCTGATCTTTGTGCAGCTTGACCAGCCCCGGCCCCCTGGTCAGGGTTGATCTTGATTGTGGTGGGCTGCAACGCCGGAACCAAAGTCATTTAAATGCTTAAACAAGAGAACTTCTAAAAAATACGAAATGTAGATTATATCCTTTTAATATACAAAACCAGGAAAGCAATTGAAATACCTCAGCCCTAGTGTCGGTGTCGGCAAGCCGTTGCTTTATGTCTCTTGCTATTGAAAAGAAAACTTGCTCCACATTAAGATTAGTCTTTGCACTCTGCATTACACAATATGTTTGAGTACATGGCAACAGCTAATCAATTAGTTCCCGCAATTTATAGGGATCACTTACCGTTTCAAAGAACTTGATCCCATATTCGTCAGCAAGTGCTTGACCCTTGGAGGTAGGCACAGCCTAAAAGGACAGTGGAGATAAGATTAGGACGGGTGCAAACATATGTTTCCATAACTAAACAAGATCCAAGCAAAAGTAGGATTCCGATCAGAATTGCTCCATTTACTAAGACCAACTTCCAATAAGAGTTAAAGGTGAGAATTAAAGGTGTCTTTTGATGATAGATTTCAAGCACACGCTCACCCGTTTGCTTTCGTCCATGTCAGCCTTGTTCCCTACAAGTATTTTGTTAACATTATCTGAAGCATGCTGTTCAATGTTGCGAATCCAATTCCTTATGTCTGAAAACAGCAACAAGCCAGGTGAGAAACTTTCGAATAAAGCAGAACACAAGAATCATTTGTTCAAGTAAACCAAGCGTATGGGAGAGAAATTTACTATTGAAAGATGATTCATCGGTTACATCATAGACCAGCAAAATTCCCATGGCTCCACGATAGTAAGCTGGGACAGAAGGAAGGGTTAATAGAGAACTGGTTATCAAAAAAATAATAGCATACACATTACACACCAGCAGGGCATACAAAGATATAGCATCGAACCTAATCATTCTAGTGTCAGAGACTTGTCTAACCAACTTCATCAAATAGGGCCCACCTATGTTATCGGGAACCCCAGAGATACTTTGCTAGGATGCCATACCACAATCCAGGCATGCTACTGGAAACCAGATGCCCATTTTCCAAACATTCCCATCAGTCCTATAGTATAGGTTTGCATACAAAGGAGCCATCTATTATTATAAGATTCTAGCTCTAGGTTAAAAGAGCGTAGTGTACTCCACACCCTGCCGCAAGTAACAGACTCCGCAGCAGCTAGTTAACCAAATATAGTTCCAATAACAAACCCCATGGAACCAATTGAAGAATTCATCACATATATGACATAACATATAGTAAAAGATGCACCATACACTCTGCATCTGAATGTGCCTGTTTCATGCTTTACTTTGGGACCAACTTGTCCAGCATGCCTGCCTGGTACTAGAAGTCGACTAACCTATACCCTGTTTTTAGTCTAGAATATATGCCCTTAAGCATTGCCATTTTAAAATGGAGCATTTCCACCTTTACTACTGGGTTCCCATGTTCCCCAAGCGCCCTTCTGATAACAGCCTGCTTATAATCCACCTCTTAAAGGGACCCTCACTCTACCCTTTTCTCCTAAAAGGCACATTATTTGGATTCAATCACCATCTACTTCAATAAACCACTTGTACCTAAGAACTATGTCTTTTCTGACCAATTTTCTAGTAAGGAACTCAGGCTGTAGAATTTAACAACCTTGTCTCTCGAAAAACTCTAAGGGTGGAAAATAAAAGGTGACTAAAATCTCATGGAAATCCATCTTCCATCAAGAGCAACATGGGTAATCAATTTACTACCACCAATGTTCTGTAAAATCAAAATGCAAGTACCTACGATAATAATTTTTTACCAGTAGTGATTGTACGGAACCTCTCCTGACCAGCTGTATCCCAAATTTGGAGCTTAATTCGTTTTCCATCAAGCTCAATGGTCCTTATCTTGAAATCAATGCTTCACAAGGATAAACCCATGAGGTTTAGGAAGCTTCTAAATAGAAAAAAATTATCAGATGCATTTAACTTTAAAGTTAGAGAATACAAACCCAATGGTAGTTATGAAACTAGTGGTGAAGGAACCATCTGAGAAACGCAAAAGAAGGCAACTCTTACCAACACCTGCAAAAATAAATAGGCATATATCAAATTTAGCATTGGCATTCTGCCAAGTACATTATTTGTAATATCGAAAATTCTTATACCAATTGACGCAGTCAACATTCTACCGACTGTGTCAAGTAAGAACTAGAGTCTTCAATTTATTGACAGATACTACTTCGTTAGGTATTTGCTTATCTAAACATATTGCTAGACATTGCATTCAACACAAACTTTAAAAAAACGCATGACTTAAATTGATAAAAAAATCTGATTCAGAAGCTCAAACCGTTCATAAATCAGACTACGGTAATAATCAAATGCTCCACATTCTTTGACACCAGAAGATCATAAATCAGGAAAAAAACAATTTCAATCTTAGTCAAACCAGATCTAAACTACCCAGAAAGGAAAACCCCTTTTTCCTATATACTTTTGATTGAAACCCCAAGTCCAACAAATCTTAAAGCCTAAAGCAACCCTCTTTTGATCTCAATGGTAAAATGCTATAACTTTTCAATACATCATACCATTTGCTACAAAATTGATACATTAAACATAAATCGATCTAAAATTCAGGAAAAAAAAATACTCACCGCTGTCGCCGATGAGCAGAAGCTTTATGAGGTAATCGTAATCGGCTCTAGCCCTTGCCGGTGGAGCAGCCATTTTTTCCCTCTTTTTTCTTTTTATCTAATCAATGAGAACTCCAATACAATCAAATCCAAACACTATCTCTCTCTGCATACATAACCAAAGAGAAATAAATTCAAAACCCCAGAAAACATTCCTCCAGAAAAAATCATAAATCCATTAAAACAAAGAAATTAACAGCAGCAAAATACCAGATCAACAAAAAAGAGATTTAGAGAGAGAAAGAGGAGGAGAGAGAAGGGGATTTTCAGGGTTTGGGTGCCAAAATTAGTGAGGGGGAGACCTTGTGCGGTTCACACATACCTAACAAAGCTCCTGGTCCGACTATGGTGGGTTGGCTAATAATAATGCGCACTGTCTCCTTCTCCTTTACCCTTCTTTTCTTCCTTTCGCACTCTGCGCACCGTGCGCACGGTAGCAGCTCCCGGTGTATATGTACAGGGAAGATGGATTGTTTATGAATTAGGGAAATGTAAGAGCCAATGAGGATTTGACAGCTTGTAAAGCTGGTTTTGGGTGCCACGTGGAATGGGTTTAGTGGGTGGTGGTAAGTTCATGAGATGTGGTCTAGCAAATGTTGAAATGTGGGGGAAAGTATCTGCCTTTGTTTAAAGATAAGAGTTAAAAAGACTATATGGAATGAGATGAGGTTCGTCTTCAAACTCTCATTGTGAGGATTCTAGAGATCTTCAAATTGTGTTCGTTTATCTTACATCGTACAGTTTAGTGATTATTTTAAATATTTTTATTTAAAATTGAATATGAACCGTACCTGACAAAAAATGATCGCACGATGTACGATGAACAGACATGATTTAAGGATCCGGAGAAGATCTTCATTCGTACCCTTCTTGTTTCAATAGAACAAAACAACCAACATGATTTAGAAAATTTATTAGGGGATTGAATCGAAATGGACAAATCTTTAAATTAAAGGTGTATAAAAGGCAGAAGAGAATGAATTTTCATGTTGAAGGATTATAAGGGGATTAGACAGGAAAGAAATTGCTCCCTTCTAATTGGGTAGATTCGAATAGAAAACTTTATTTGATGAGTTATCTATCTTCTAGCGTTAGTTGGACAAAAAAATTTCGTTTCTCCTTCCGACGTACCTTGAGTATAGTGACTTGTTCATTTCAACCCAATTGTCTAAACCAAGCAAATCCTATATGGACACCACTAATGGACTACACATGACAAAGCTACTACTAAAACACTACAAATGCACTACAAATACACTAAAGGAGGGACTATCAAAATGACACCTTAACATGAATTGCATCTAATCAGTTTCAAATCCCTCTAAGCCCTACTCCAACCCTTGGAGTAAAACTCAAATTGTAGGTTCTAAATTTACCCCAACTTGCTTTATGAGTTTAAACTCAAAACTCATCTCTGGGGCAAATTAGCCCAGGATTCCCACCTAAGTTAGTGGGGCTGGCCCACCATATATGTGTATTTTTTTAGTTTTATATTTATAAATTCATTGAATCCAATGGTAAAAAATATATATATAATGGTCCAAATTTAAATTCAACGACTAAAGTAATTAAAAAAATATTTTATGTGTTTCATATTTTTTCATAGTGTTCCACGAGTTTCATGGCGCCGGTTTAGTGATTTTTCTATATTTTTTCGAATCTAAATATTTTTAGGTTAAAATGTTCATAAAATTAAAATAGGATAGTCTACATAATTTTTTTTAAAGTTATTTTAAGAAAAAAAAAATTATCCTAAATTCATTATTTAATAATCACGGGCTAAAAATTTAACCCATAATGGTTGGAGAAGAAAAATTATTTCTGAGTTAAAACTTAAATTTTCTAGGTTAAAAATTTCAAGTTTTAACTCAAGAGTAGGAAATGATCTAAACAATTTTTGTAGTGCATTCATAACAAACATAGCCTAGGTACTACGGAACTTTAAAGTTCATTTCCCCAGCGACTAGCACCTCTTGCCCACTCTCTTATTCTTCAACGGACGATAGTATTAGTATCTAGGGGTGCAAGTAAGGCGGGTTGCGAAATCAACATACCCAACCCGAACCAATCCTTTACAATTGGTTTGGGTTAGGTTTTTGTCCGGTTGCCAGATTAGCCTAAACCCTATACTAAGTTTATTCTTAGATATTTGCTCAAAAGATCAAATTCAAAAATTATAACCAGTCATTTGACAACAAAAAAATTATAATCACTCAAATAATCACTTTTTTTCTTCAACAAACAATATTATATACACTAAGATGTGGGAGAGTGGCTAAGCCTCACAATGGACTAGCAATAATGTGGTTCAAATTCGCTTTTGGCGAAAATCGAACCCAAGGCTTCTCACTTACAAATAAAAAAAGAATACCACTAAACCGTAGTATTAAGTGGCCTCAAATAATCACTTTAATATTGATTAATCACTGAAATAATTATTTTTTAATATTTGATAATATATAGTCTAGATTTGACTACATGTTATTAATATTTGATCAATTTCTTATTAATATTTGGTCGATGTGTCTTTAATATTTGATTTTGATCATTTCATCAATTGAATTTGTAACATTACATGTAAGTATATCCCACTAAACCAAAGTATCAAACATTATGTAAAAAAGGTACCAAACATTATGATAAGCAAATATCTTAGAGCTATTTTCAGAGTAAGATTCTTTTCCATCCAAATCTCCTCTCCTCCCCTCCCCTCCCCTTCCCTTGTCTCTTACTTTACTTTGTCTTTCTTTCTCTATAAAAAGGTCAATTTAATCATAGATGTTTAAATAGGAGGAGATTAAAAATGAGGAAAAATGGAAGATAAGCAGAATCCGAATCTTATGTTCATCTAGTCATGTAGCAACTGGTTGTTTATAAAAGCAAGGAAAATGTCAAATGATGCCAGTTCCATGGAAGTAGCACAACCGCGTAAAGTAAACACAATATAACCAAATTATTAATTTATTTATCAGGCAATATAACCAACTTAAAGATTGGTGTTATGTGGACGGGCGGTGGCCCCACAATGTGACAACTAGTGCTGAGTTTGTTACAATGCCTCAATGGTTGGTGACTTTGACAGGCCAAAAGCCAGAGACATTGTCTTAGCCAAATCCAAAGAGTTAAATATAGGCCAGTTCATTTTTTATGAATGCCACAGAGAACAATGTTTCTTTGCCCACTCTTCTTCTCTCATATAGTCTTGCACTCTTTTGCTTAATTGGTAAGGCATTGAACAAGTACATGTGATATGTATTCAACTTCATAGTAATATAGAATGGGGGAAGATAATAAAATAACAATTAAAGAATCGTTAGGTCATATGTGCATCAGTGATAGCCGCATAACGAAGCGCACATGCATCACATGGTTGAGAATAACCCTAGCATACTGCAAAACTTGAGTGCATCTATGGTCACGAATATAGACTGTTTCTTTCTTGATTGTTATCTCATATAGTCTTGTGCTCTTTTCTTTTTATTGTGCATGACTGATGTGTTTTAACTGCAGATGCATACGAGTCTTATAATGATGACGAATGCACAACATGAATAGAACGTAATATTATGAGACTCACATATATCTACAGTCAAGTATGATCTTAACTGCATTTGAATGGCTTCGAAAGATTTTCTAACCCACCCATATGGGAATAATTTTGAAAAAAAGTGTGTTTTAGACTGAGATTGATAAGAAAAATAATCACAACATATTATTAAAACTTTACAATATTGATATATGATTCCATGCCACTTGAATGGTTGGTTGGCGCAATTTGCATATCGTACTAAACACACTAGTTGGATGCTCACCCGAACAAGAAGATTTGTCAAAGGAATTAATTCTGTTTTTGTTAGTTGGGTTTTATGGAACTTAGCCTTAGAAGATCAAGCTTTTTGAACATGGTAATCGCATAAATGATGGCTTTATGCCATCCTCTTGTAAACCTAAAGGATAAATTAATTCTCACCAATTCTTATTAATTTCGATTTTGATGTTTATTAAATCATGAAGAACTAAAAGGAAAGACGACGGACTTGTTTGAAGGAGGAAGAGAATAAATGTTTTGATTTTGAGTTTTATTTTTAAATGTGTGTAAATATAAATTTACGTAAAATGAATTTGTGAGGATAATTTAAGTAGTAAATTAAGATTTAAAGAGATATTAATTGTTCAATAAAAAATAAAATAAGTATAAAAAGTAAGTCAAGTGTATGTGAGATTATAGGGGTTCAGATAAAAAATTTCCATAAAATTTCTCCTAGGAATATTGTGGGCCTTTAGAAATCTTCAAGATTCATGTTTTTCATATTTAGTTGTCTACCATTACCAGTAGGTCCATTACATAAATGTTAATATTTTCCTGAAGGCAAAAGCAGCACTAGCTTGTGTCAGCAATCTTCAAGAAACCAGGACAAAAAATTAGAAGATAAAAATTGGGTTTTTAGGCATAGGTCAGTTGGTCAAAATAATGAGTTTATTTTTTACCTTCAAGTTCGAATCTTCCTCTACAAATCTGCATCAAACTTAATAACAAAACAAGGACTTAGCTTTTTGACAGAAGACAAAGAAAGGAGTGAGTTAGTGGAAGTTTATATGGATATCCAAATTTGTGCTGTACTAAATCAAGGTGCCCCTCAAATGAAATATGATTGGGTTTTGGTGTCATTTTAATACAAAATGATATGCCTCACATGCTTTGTGAAGCAGCAACATGATAAGCCATACCTAAAGCCATCTCCAACAGAAAGCTAACTAAAATGCTTGTTTTACTCATCTGGTCCTCCAAAATATTAATATTTTAATGAACAGTACATGGCCATATTTGCCTCAATCTCCAACCGAGGGCCAAAAGGCCATAGGGCTCGTTTTAGCCCTGTCACAACAAATCATCTCCAACCGAGGGCCAAATGGCCATAGGGTCAAACATAATTTATTATTTAAATTTAAAAATTACAACAACTTAAATTTAAAAACTACATCTTATATTTACAAACTACAACTTAAATTTAAAAACGACAAATTAAATTTAAAAACTACAAATTAAATTTAAAACTACAAATTAAACTTAAAAACAACATTAACTTAAATTTAAAAACTATAACAACTTAAATTTAATATCCATAATCAACATCATCTTCATCATCCGTCATTGTAGGAGTATAGTTAGAGGTAAACAACTGCCGCCGAATCATAATTTCTTTTTTTTTTTTCCTATCAAAATATACCTTACTCATTAGAGTGTAACTCGAAGTATTCATTTCCATATTCTTATCATCCATCTCTTCTTGTATTTGTTTGGCCCGTTCTTCATGCCTACATTTCATTTCTTCCGCATCAAGGGCATTTTGCTCCGCCATTAATCGCAATGAGGCCGCCACTTCATGTTGAGCGGCGTAATCATCATTTGCCTTGCCCTTTTCCTTCAACCTTCATGCCTTGTTT